TACAATCAGAATATACAGGTTGGAATTTTTTTTTAAAAAAAGATTTTATTTATTTATTCATGACAGACAGAGAGCTAGGCAGAGACACAGGCAGAGGGAGAAGCAGGCTCCATGTAGGGAACCTGATGTGGGACTTGATCCCGGGTCTCCAGGATCACACCCCATGCCAAAGGTGGCGCTAAACCGCTGAGCCCCCAGGGCTGCCCTGGAATTTTTGTTTTTAAGGTAATGTCAAACCTCTGAATTTTTTCTTTTTTCTTTTCTTTTTTTTTTTTTTTTTTTTTTGGAGCCAAGAAACAACCTGTTTAGTGTTGTGATTTGGGAAAGTGATCTTGGCAGAATTATGGAATATTGCAGGGACAACTAGCTGAACATTATAGACTTAACTCTGAGGGGTCTTGAAAAAGTCCATTGCTCAGGTTGTATGTACCCCTGTTCAATTGAATTAGAATCTGAGAGGGTGAGATACAGACATCAATACTTTTTAAAAGTCTTCTTGATGATTTTAATGCACAGCCAAAGTTGAGAACTATAGAAATAGAGGCAGTGAGCCCAGGGAACAAGTTAGCGTGGAGTTGTGTAATCTAAGTAGAAGAAAATTAACACCCATAGGGTGGTGTTAGCTGATCAGAAAATACGTCCCTTTTGGGTTTTGCTTTTTTTCTCTAGATTTTTAGAATTTGCACTTTCCATTTTTGGGTTACTTTATTAGTATACAGAGAAAAAACTCTTATTTTTGCAAACTTACTATATGTTCTGATCTTGGCTCTGTGTCTCATACACTTTCTCATTAATCTCCTCCAATGTACTGGGGGGAAGATATTACTCTGTTTCTGAAGAAACTGAGACTCTGAAGGAATTAGTAATTTTTCTAAGATCACATAGCTAATCAGCGGTCCATGTTAGGATTTAAATACACACACTCATATTTTGTTATTCTTGTCATTGAATGTAAAGGCTAATGTTTTTATATTATAAATTGATCTGTGTCATACCCAGCCTTTTAAAAATTTTATGTGGATTACCTAATATTATGTACACTTTGAAAAGTATGTGATACGTGATCTAGTGTATTTAACTCAAACCTTGTTCTCCTTTAACTAATTTTGATTTTTCTATCTCGGGTGAATATTTTGGCATTTAGGCAGTATATAGTTGCTGAGACATGAAGAACAGTTGCTAATTGCATTTTTATGTGTGGTAGATATAATTATGAGTCATGGAAGTTGACGCTTCCATAGTATTATTAGCAGTCTTTCCTGTGGCTTGATACTTAACAACATAATATGCTAATCAGTAATTTGTCAGAAATAGAACTCTAGAGGGAAAGAAAGTATTTGTTATACAGTCCTTATGGCTTAATTAAGATCCTGGTCATGATTCAATATAGAATGTGGGTTTATGTATCTATGTAAGGAATTGGCCAAAATGAAATTCCAAATAAACTTTTATTTCAGACTGAAAAGCAAAGTCATTTAAGTAAGTCATAAGATTAAGCATCATACCCTGAAATATTGATGTATGTGAGCTGTCTCCTCTAATCAATTGTCATATCTAACCTGGCATGATTGTGATGTGATTACATGGTTTCTGTTGTGGTTATCAAGTGACTAAGTATGGTTAGGTCAGATATAGAGGAGAATATTGATTAATTCAAAGGCCAAGGTCATGTGGATTTAGTTCTTTTAATGGATAGTTCACTTTTTTCTTATTTCATAACCACATACCTCACCAGCTGTCTCACCAGGTGTATTAACCGTAGTTACAGCTGACATAATCGATTTTGATCTTCCCTTGTATATGAAGTCCTTGATGGAGGAAGTTGTTTTCATCATGGCAAGAGACCACCATTACCAGAAGCTCCATTATGAAAAATAGGTGGTGAATCTGTAACAGTGTTATTTATGAAGGACAAAATTATTTAAGAAAAAAGGGAATTCCTAACAAAGGAATTTTGGCATATGATAGCCAGAGACTAATAGTGGAAGAAAATATGAATATACTTTACATTCATTTTAGAGAATGTCAGAATACAGGGGCTGTTGCTATTTTCTGGGAATACTATGGAAGTCTTCTGGTGAAGTTACTTTATTTTTTTTAGACTAGGGGGTGGGGCAGAGGGAGAGAAAGAATCTTAAGCAGGCTCCACGCCCAGTGTGGAGCCCACATAGGGCTCCATCTCAGGACCCTGAAATGATCTGAGCCGAAATCAAGAGTCAGACACTTAACTGACTGAGCCACCCAAGCGCCCCTGTTGAAGGTACTTTTGAACAGAATCCTAAAGGATAAGAGCCAGTGTGGAGCTTGCAGCTCTGTTAGGCCGTCTATGATGGTTAGGCTGTACTAGTTGAGGTTGGGAGGGAAGGTGAGTTAAGGTTTTTCACTTCCTCAGAAAGGAACATGATGGTGCAGTGCAGGGGCACTGTCCGTGGAACTGTTCCACATGGAACTCTGTGGGCAATCCCCTACAGTTCTTCCTGAGAAGAGACAAATGCAGTGACAACACATGTAGTATCCCTCTGAGATACCTGGTGTGGGAGGCCAGGAAATCCCTCACCAAAGATGTGATATTTTATCTGAGATAAGAAGGAGTGCAGCAGGAGGATGATTGGGAGACCTTTAAGAAACTGGAGCTCAGAAGAGTTAAGGTGGACAACTAATTTGGGGAGTTGTTAGTGAATAGAGCCCCTTTAAAAGTTAAGTCAATGGAATCATCTGGGGACAACATGTTGAATGGGTACAAAAGATATTCTAGGATGCAACCTGGGGGGCAGAGGCAGAAAGGGAAGAGGGGAGCCAAGTAAGGAGAGGGAAGAAGAGAGGAAAAATAGCTTGGAAATTGGGGAAGGAGAAAGAGTTTTGAGAAAAGGAGTGATCAGTGGTGGCAAATCCTAAAGAGTGGTCGGTTAGGTTGAGCTGGGGAGAGGTAAGTTTGGCTAGACTTGAAATGTTTTATGGTGTAGGCACTTAGGACTAATTTACATTTAAATTAAATAAATTCAACTCCTCAGGTTTCACTAGCCACATTTCAATAATTTAACAGCTATGCATAGCTAGTAGCTGCTGTATTGGATAGTATAGATATACACTATTTCCATCATCACAGGGAGTTCTATTTGATAGCATTGTACTAGACCATTGTAAAATTAGGGAAAAGTTAAAGAAAAATTCATTGTTTTACTTATTTGCAATAGCAATAGAGAAAATACTATGAGATAACTAATTATGTATTACCAGAGAACTGATGTTAGGAAGTCAGAGTTTTAGTTTGAACTGTGGTAGCAGAATTGGCAATTTGACTTGAGCCTTCAAGGTCAGGGAACTTTCAAGCTATTGAACAGGGAAGCAAAAACAAAGGGAAAAAATTGCAGCTCACTCTGAGCATAATCAATTTTACTAGACAGAGAATTTAGGTAAGTGGAATTTTAGAGTTGCAAAGCTATCTTATGGGGCATCAGAACACCTCTGTGGCATGAATGCTGTAGACAGACAATGCTGTAGACAATTTAAGTGTTAGGATTTGGGGCTTATTTTCTAAAGAATGGGTACTATCAAATGTTTTTAAGTGGAGGAGTAACATGGTGAATGTGATAGTTTATGGAATTAACTTGATAAATTAAGATGTTGGTTTTTTTTCTTAGTCTTTGTCATTTGTTGCACTACTAAGTAATTATGCCGTATGTCTACATACTGCTTTTTAAAAAGCCTATAAAGTAAAAAAAAAAGTAAAAAAAAAAAGCCTATAAAGTACACTCATGTAAATCATTATTAAGCCTTACAATTATTCTGGAAAATTGTAACATTTATAATTATGTATTCACAGAGAAGAAAATCTCAGAGTTCAGTAATATGCTAATGATGGGGCTAGCTTGAAGAATTGAGTAATACTGGGTAGATTGGAGATAACTTACCTTAATGTCACATAAATTACTATATAGTACATATAGTCTCCAATCTTGTTGGCAGTAGGGACCATGTCTTTATGTTTTCAAATTCCAGTACCTAGCATAGTAAATGAATGAATGAGATGTGACTTAGTGCAGGGACATTTATTGAAAGGGAGATGAGAAATGAGGTGATGTGAATCTGGCCTAGGAAATAATATTAATGGGAATTGAATGAAAGGTCCAGATGTGAGGTAGACATTGTCTAGGTAAAAATCATCTAAACTTAATGACTTCTTGAGATGTTGGGGGTGGGGGAAGAGTCTCAGATGACTCGAGGGTTTAGGTCTCAGTGAAAATAAGATGCTACCATTGAAAAACTCCGGCAAATTGGCATGGAAACTGGTTACTGAGGGAAACTACAGAATCTGTTTTTGACTTAAAGATGCTTTTCTAAAACCAGCTTAGAGCCAGCCCTTCCTTTGTTTATAGACTTTTAGAACCAGAAGTTAATTTGCCGTAATGTCTGAATCATGCAAGTGGCAATGTTTTGGGGTGAAGTTTTAGAGATAGGGTGGATCTAAAGGAGAAGCTTGGAAGTCATCTGAATAAAGTTCATAGATAAGATTTGAGTATGAGCACAGTCTGCAGGGAAGGAGCAGGTAGAGAAAAAACAAGTAGTTGAGGACTGAACATTGCTTATGGCCACTCACTTACTAGAAGAGAAGACAAAGTGGAGCCAGGAAAACAGGAGAAGGGAAGCCAGAGGAGTCGAGTACTTTAGAAACAGAGGAGAAAGTTTACGTGGGGAAATGGCTGATAGAATTAAATACATGCAGGGAGGATAAGAACTGTGAAGAAGCCTCAGACTATGCCTGAGACAACTTCACAGACTGGCAGATTGATGGGAACTTCTCCTCAGAAGTTTTTGTGTTGTTGTTGTTTTAAAGAATTGAGTTTCCAGTGTAAACATATTATTGCCTTTTTTTTTTTTTTGCTACTTCTTAAAAGATTAATGCACCACTTAATTCATTTGATACACTGTGGGTGCTCTCTAAATTCAGATTCAAGTGTTTGACATTAAATCACTCCTGAGAAAATTTATTTTTTTTTTAGATCTTGCCATATTCAGAAGTTGCTGAAGTTCAAGAGACAGTGAGTAATATATAGTGCTATGTATGAAATGTTAACATTTTTGTATTTTTTCAGGATTTTGAATTGGATTCCTAAAATATATTTTGACTCTATTTTATCATAGATGGTTATGTCATTATACTAAGTAACATAGATTGAAAAGATCACATTAAAAATTTACATTTTTTTCCAAAATGTAAATAGATTTTTTTTTACTGTAAAAATCATGCATACCAGTGGGGGCATATTTAAACAATACAGAAGAATGTAATAAATAAAATTCTACCTTCTAGAGGCAACCACTTTTAATAGTCTGGTGGCCTCTTTACTAAGTTTGTTCATGTGTATTTGACTTACATATGAAATTTTATAAAAGTAGAGTCATACAAACTTTTATAACCTATTTTTAAAGGTCAATGTATAATGAACAGTGAATAAAAAATCTTTAATGGCTACATAGTATTTAATTATATGAATATTATTTAATAGTAGATTATTATTTTAGATTACTGTAAATGATGTGATAAATATCTGTGGATGCCTCTTTTAATATTTTGGATGATCACCTTAGTATACATTCCTAGAAGTACATTTACTGGATCAAAAGTCTGATTAGGTTATTTTAAAATAACTGCTTGGCAGGCCAGTTAATATTCTCTATCCAACAGTGATAAGCTCTAGTTCCTAGAAAAATATTTCCGTAAAATATCTCCTGTAAAACTCAGGGATAAAATGTACACAATGTGTGTTTTGCAGTTGATGCAAGAATATGAAAAGTTCAGTTGAGTACAGAGAGAGGACTCAAAAAAAAAAGGAGAGAGAGAGAGAGAGAGAGGGGACTCCTGTAGAAAGAACAAACAAATCTCAACTATGTTTTAGATCTTTTCACTAAAGACTACTACCCTGAGGGCCAAAGATAACACTAAAGAGAGTGATCTTGGGATGTTTTATATAATCCTCCTTCCAAATTGTGGCTTCTGAGAGCCAGCTGCAGAAGGATTGCTTCTATGAGTACAACTTGATCAGCTTTTTTTGGGGGAAAGAGGTGCAACTTGCTTGAAATTTTATTTTCAAATTGTATCAATGCTTAATAAGCTTTTTGTACTTTGGCTTAAGCTCAAAAGATGACTTAAATCAGTATGTATGTAAAAGGGAGGTGCTGTGCTTAAGGCAATGGAATCAAGCTATAACTCTTACGAGATTGCTTCTGTGTTATAAGGTGGCCATCTGTCCTGAGTTGCTTGGGCCTAAGGGGTTTCCAGGATATAGGGTGTGATTATGAATTTCTACCTATTCCTTTATACTTCTGAAAGATGGCAAGTTTTATGCTAATTTTAGATGGCACGGCAAATACTTAGAAGTACATTAAGTAAAGTCCCATTTTTGCATAATGCTCTTTTCCTGAGATTTGTAGACTAAAATCAGTAAAGATTTAAGCTATACTTCCTGCTTTTAGTTAAAGTAGTTGATAGTATACTAATTAATAACAAATAGAAAAACTCTAGGTGTGTTACTATTATTTTACCATTTTCAGCCCATACTTTCTGCCAAAATAGAGAATCTGTTTATATGATAAAGAAATTGTTGAAATGACTGTATGGATGTCGTTGAAGGGATAATGATAAATATGATGTTATTCAATTAGAGGTAATGTTTGCATCATATCTTTAATGGTCTTCTTTGAATAAGCTGAGGAAAATTTCCTGGATTCTTTGAGTTTCTACTAGTATTTTGGTTCTCTAACAAAAGCCAAAAGGAGTTGACTAGCTTTTTATTTTTTTAAATATCTAAGATACTTGTGTAGATATTTCACATCAATAATTTCACATTGTCTTTATTCATGTGTTATACAAGATGGAACTGTGCCTAGTAGGCCCAGGTCCTAAAAGCAATAAAAGTAAGAAGTGTAGTGTGTGCGATCTAACAGGAGCGCAAGACTTCAGTGATATAAGTTACTTGGTAAAATTAATATGTAATCTTCAGTTATCCCTATCCCATTCCCCATTGGCATCACTTACAGGCAGCTCTGGGAGGATCATTTCACTTGGATCCCAGTTTAATGCCTTTGTATCCACAATTTTCTGGGGAAGGTTTCTGAAATCTTACTTCTTGTTATATTTCCACTTTTACTGGAGTGTTTCAGCTTAATTCTTAGTTCTGCTGTTCCATTATAATGTCTGTTTTCTGGTGCCTGTTCTTTTATTCTGTTGCATTTTTTGGCCTCTTGTGATTAGCTGTTCAGGTTCATATACCCTAACTCTCAGACATATCATAATTTATACTGTTTCTTACAAACCTGAACCTTTCTCTGTACAAGTTTATAGATCCAGTTGCCTACTTGACATTTTGACTTGGATGTCTAGTAGATATTTCAAATTTAACCTGTCTCAAACTTAACACTTCTGTTTTTCTTTCAATAAACTAACCCCCTCAATGTCCTTTCCATCTCCCGACAATGACAGTTCCATGCTCAGACCCCAACACTTACATCATTTGGATTTTTCTTTAAAATAAATAAACTTCATGTTTGGTCTGTTTGGAAATCCTGTTGGTGCTACCTTCAAAATATATTCAGAACTCAACCACTTCTTCTCCCCCTCACCTCTTACCTTGGTCTAAGTCTCTTTCATTTCTCCCCCTACGTTATTACAGTAACTTCTGACTGGTTATACTCCTGTCCCTCTAGTCCATTCTCAACACAGCAGCCAGAATAATCCTGTTAAAACGTTTTCAGATTATGTCACTCCTTTTCTCAGAAATCCAGTGGCACCCCATCTCATTCAGAATAAAGCCAAAATCCTGACTGGGTCCTACACAGTCTGGCACCCATTTATTTATTTCTTTTACTTCATTTCCTACTACTTTACTATTTGTGTTGTATTCCAGCCTCTCTGGACTTTTTACTATCCTCCAAGCCCTCCAGACTTGCTCCCATCCCAATCCACCACTCTATACATGTTCTTCCCTTTGCCTAGAATATTCTTCCCCCTTATGTCCTTATCATAAATTCCCTCATTTTACTCAGTCAGTTCTGTAGTGAAGCCTTCTTAGGTCACCCTATCTTAAATTATAACTCCCTCTTCCTTAACATTTTATAAAACCTCGTTCTCTGCTGATTTTTTCCTTAGTAACTATACTATATAATATGCAACAAATTTTTACTTGTTTAGTATGTTATTATTCATTTCTCCCACTAGAACATAATACCACAAAGGACAAAATTGTTATCTTTTTTGTTTACTCCTATATCCCTTGGTGCCTAAAATGATACCTGTCCTATATAATAGGTATTCATAAATATTTGGTTGGATGGATGAATGATAGGAATAGACAGTGTTTGTTTTGATTCTTTATTATCTCACTATGAAAAATTAGTCTAATAGAATCAGATTTATATGACAAATATACTTAAGATAATGTTGAAGCATAATTTGAAACATATCAGAAGTTACTGTATATGGTAGAGATTGTTTTCTGGGAGCAAACAGGCAAGAAGTACAGCTGCAAAGAAGTTGACATAATGCTGTTAATTAACAAAATTTGAGAATTATGTACAATGAAAGTGAACTTAATTATTTACTCTAAATAGAAGATCAGCTAGAAAGCCTTCATAAATGACTGGCCCTGTGAAATTAAATAGTCCCAACTATGCATATATGGTTAGAACCATTGCTCTCCTTCAAGAAATTCAGATTTTCTGGTAAATCTAGGAAAATTAGTAATTATATCAATACAGAAAGATTTTTTAGAGAATGTCTGTGAAATATTTGTCAAGTTGACCATGGTTGACTCTGTCATTTTCCTAACTTCTTTTCTGTTTTCCAGTATCATACTAGTTATTGGTCTATAACAAATCTGAAAATTAAGTGGTATAAAACAGCAAGCATTTATTATTTTATAATTTCTCTGGGTCAAGAATTCAAGAACAGTTTACTAGGTGTCCCCGGTTCAAAAATCTCTCAAGTGGTTGTAGTCAAGCCACTGGGGGCGGGGGGGCGGGGGTTGCTGCAGTCTCATCCAAAAGCTTGACTGGGTAGATGGGAGGGCAAGGAGACCCAAGGCAGGAGATATGTTTACCCAACAAACTCAAGTGATGCTTGACATCATTCCTTCACCTCATGGGCCTGTCTACAAGACTGCCTCATGACTCTGCAGTTGGCTTTCCCCAGGGTGATCTAAGAGCTAGCAAGGGGCTATAAATAAGATGCAGGTCATAGTCTTTACAGTCTAATCTTGGAAGTGACGTTGATTCACTTCTGCTATATTCTATTCATTAGAAGTGATTCAGTGAGCCCAGAATATGCTCAAAGAAAAGGGATTATACACGAAGACAGGGGGATCCCTGGGGCCTTCATAGGGATTTCCTACCACAAACACTTTAATCTTTTCCCGCATGCTTGCTCGTTGTGGTAACATGGCCATCAGTAATAAGGACTTAAACACAATTAGTTCTTTGTCATTACAGCTGTATTTTTTTTAGTTTATCTTTGAAGCTGAATTCAGTTTATAGAATAATGGGCAACTATGGGAAAATGACTAGAGCCAAATGCCATAAAGGAATTAGAATCCAATTTCAAGCATTAAGGAAGCAACAGGGCCAAGATTTTTTCCCTAGGAGGCAAAGCAAACAACTGCTACCTTTCTTTTTGGTCACGGATAATTAAGATTCCTTCATTCAATAATATAATCAGTGGGAATTTTAAATTTTTGTTGTTACTTCAGTTTTGATGTTGCTGTACTTGATATTTGAAATGAAGGAAAGCTGAGGACTCTGTTTCTACCAAAGGAAATCAAAACACTTGTCTATAGGCAACATTTAGCATAATGTTGTATGTTAAAATAGTAACTGGACAAAAGGTCAGTAGTCTTATTTCTTTGTGTTGATTTCAAGATATTCATTTCAGGATTAGATCTTCCTTCTTAAAGACCAGTAGCTCCACGTGATAACACTCCATATTAAGTGGGTCTTAAGAAAATTTTATCTGACAATAAAATTTATCATTCTAACCCATATTGCTCTTTGTTTTTTTTTGCCATTTGAGAAAAAAAAAATTGTTCTACTTTGTTGATGTCTTTGTAAAAGCTCTTTGCACAATGCTTGGCATATAATAAGCACTCAGTAAATGTTCCTTTCTTTTTATAGACTGAATTTCTATGTAGTGTTAAGTGCTTTCATGGCATGCATAACTAATATTTAATAGTGCATGGGTGTTATAGATTTATAACCATTTAAATTTAAAGAATGAACAACTTTGGACTGTCCCTTACATTTCTAAATAATTTTACCACTCCTAACCCATATCTTGAGTTTAAATTGAAAGTAATTTTTGACTTGAACAATTTTTAAAACAAAAATACTTAGTTGATTATATTCTGGTCTTTCCGTCTTTATTTTCCAAAACTTAAATATTTGTTAATGCTTAAGCCAAGATCTTTTTATGTGTGGCAGAGGATATTCCTTGTGAACTATGATTACTAGGATTGTTGTGCATGTGCTTTCTACTTATAAACTAATGCTTATTTTCCTTGTCCTTTTGTTTCACTGCTGCTTCAATCCTGATGCATTTTGCTTCTTCCTGGTTTGGATTGTATTTGTTTGCTGCTCAATTACCCTGCATTTAAAGCTTCTTGGTGATAGCAAAGATGTCCTTGGGCCATCAAGTAAGTAGCCAAAGTTTGAATGGCATATTTGGAGTCATAATATTTTGCTGTATAATTATAAAAGGCATATGTTATTTCTCTATTGATTATTAAGTCTTTTTCTTTTCTTTCCAGGCACTGAAATACTAAGTAAAGAATATAAATGGTCTTTCAGTGCCCATCTGAGTTTGGTAGTGTTTGGATATTTACTTCTTGATTGTCTAAAGGTGGATTATTTACTTAGCCAACTACCTAATTCATAATTCAAGACCTCTTCATAGCATTCCTTTCTACAATTATCATAAAGCATAGATCAGACTTCTTTGAGACTGGACATGGTACAAGAAATTCACTGCCATTTGAAAATGAGAAATACTGTTTTGGTTTTTTTCCCCCCACCATCTTTACATAATAAATAGGTTTCATAACCAAATTATCTATTTGTACTTTGGAGATTTCATAAGTGAAACATGTTTCATCTTAGAGATTTAGAAAATATACCCATTAAATTTATGTCTGGAGAAAAAAGGTTTTTTTTTACCAGTCACTGCTAGCTTTGAGGGGCGATATATGATGAGTACAACATGTGCCCTGCCCTTAAGGATCACTATAGTTTAGCAGGGTTTTTATAGCCTTTACTAGATAATTTCAGAGCATTATCAGAGAGGCAACTTTTGTATTAAAAATCATGGAATTACTGAGGTGAAAGGAACCTCAGATATCATCTAAGTATTAACTCTGTAGATAAAGAGATTGAAGTTAAGAATTTAAATGACTAAGGAGTTAGAATTGGTTACTAGCCCAGTGTGTTCTCTCCATTTTAAAACATCAACGAAATCATCAGTTTGCTGATTTAAAATCTAACCAAATAATCAAAATATTATTGTGTCATAGATCAGACAAAGATTTAAACTTTATTGAAGAGCAATGTAGAAATTATATTGATGTAGAAAGTTTAGTATTTATTCCTTAAACAGTTTATATGACCACTGCAAGTCAGTTCACTGCTCTGGAGCTCTTTTTTTACACCCCCCCCCCCCCACTGGTTAAACAAAGGGACTGAGCAAGATAATGGGAAGCATTCTTCTAGTTGTAAAATTCTTTGGTATGGATTTGTTGCTATTTGTCTCTAATACTGATTATAGTATGTATGTGATTTTTTTTCAAAAATTGAGACAACTCAGTATGCAAAAATTCTTTTTAAAGGGCACCTGGCAGCTTCAGTCAGTAGAGCATATGTAGTTCTTGATTTTGGAGTTGTAAATTCGAGCCTTGTGTTGGGTATAGAGATTACTTAAAAGTAAAAATAAAATCTTTTTCACAAAATCCTTTTTAAAGTTCTTAATTGCAACAATTCACAGTATTTTAAATATATTGTTTACTATACAACAAGCATTATTAGAATCATAGAAATTTTAAAAGTTGAAAAAGTGTACAGATATCAAAACATTTTTATGTTTTCTTGTCAGCCTTACTTGCGATACCTGGCAGATATTTTCAGTGGATTCACCAATTACTTTAGTTACCTCATATTTTTAGATGTTGGCTCAGACAAACTGATTGGTGATGCTGAACTGACAAATAGAATTTTTTTAAGGTTTTATTTATTTATTTATTTATTTATTTATTTATTCATTCATTCATTCATTCATTTAAATACAGAGGGAGGCAGAGACACAGGCAGAGGGAGAAGCAGGCTCCCCACAGAGAGCCTAACGCAGGATTTGATCCCAGGACCTTGGGATCATGACCTGAGCCAAAGGTAGACACTCAACCACTGAGCCACCCAGGTGCCCCTAGAATTGAATTTTTAATGCCAATTACAATGGTTCTGTTGTACAAATTGGATTTTATAAATGGAGATCTTTAATTTCTACTTGGAATAGAAGAGATTTATTGTGGTTACATATTTCCTGCATACACAACTAAGAATATGTGATTTTATATTAGAGATGAGTTTATATTGTACTCTGCCAACTATTAAAAGGCTGAAGCTATATAATTACTAGAGATCACATATCTTTTAGAGTGAAAAGTGATTTCATTAATAGTGGGATCTGTACTGAATGAGAAAAAACTATAATGATACATACAAACATTTAAATTCTTTAAATTTACACCATTCTTTAAATTCTTTAAAGGGGAGCCTTAGGATTTATTTAGAGATTATTTATGACTTTAATTACTTTATTTTAGCTTTCTTAGATTAAGGGCAAATACCACACTATGAAGCTTGGAAAATTCTTCATATTTTTCTATTGATGAGTTGACTTCACAAAGTAAGATGGTAGTTATAGAATCATATTCTCCTTAGAAGTTACAATTGGTATGTTAATATTAATTATTCCAGCATGTTTAGTTTCTACTGTACTTAAGATAATGCAATATGAATAGCAAAGTAGGTTAACGTTATTTCCACTATAAAGTAGAACCAGAAGAGGGCACTGTGATGCTATCTGTAATAGGTGAGGGAGTTGTGTCAGAAACTACGCTGGAGTCCTGCAGTGATTCATTTGTCAAAAATCTACCTAGTCATTTAGCACGTGTTTATTGTCATTTTTAGGCCAATACAGATAAAAAAGGTGAATGCCCTTCTCGAGCTTACATTCAAATAGTCTAAGATTGTACAAGTGATGTAAGACATCAAAATGATTTTTATATTATACAGATCCTCTTGTCTGTATAGTTGTTAATGTTTGTGAACGGGGTAAGAGAATAAATAGGAAAAAAATTCTAAATTTTTTCTAAATATATAGTTACTCTATTGCTATTTCTATAAACTCTCTCACTTCAAGATTATCAGAATCATAAATAGTAAGGAGTTAGAAAGAGATGAGTAGAACTAAATTTACACTTTGCAGACTATTTCCTTCTTTATATAGTGAAGTTATTCAAGATAGAGATACCTGTATCTTAGTGATGGAATACTGAAGTATACTTTAATCTACTAGTTGTTCTTCTCATAATGGTTTTTAAATTAGCCTAAAATGCCTCATACTACAAAAGAATATATGTGGCATATGTAAATCATAAAGCGTAATCATCCAGTGAGTATGTATTGAAGCTACCACTTCAGAACTTGAATCTTTATAGAATCCCTCATGTTCTAATATGTGCTTTTTCTCTCCTCTATCCCTGTGTATGCCTCCAAGAGGTGATGATAAGTTTGTATTTTTTGTCATTTGCTTTTTTAAAAAATTATTTTTTGATATGTGTCACCAAGTTTTGCTTAGTTAATTTTATGACTGATATCATGCTATGTGTCATATTTTAGGACTTGTCTTTTGTAGCTAATATTATATTTTCAAGATTCAGCCATGTTTTGGGGTATAGTTATAGATCATTCCTTTTCAGTGCTGTATGCTATTCTACGTGTATATCACAATCTATCTTATTTTTCAGTTGATGAATAAGTTGTTTTGGTTTTGCTCTTATGAACGTTCTTATTTTCTCTTGGTAAATGCATATGAGTATTATTTCTAGGTATAAAGCTAAAAGGCAAATTGTTGGGTCCATAGGGTATGCTGAAATTCAGTTTTAATAAGGTAGTTCTATGTTGTTTTCTTTTTTTTCTATGTTGTTCTCAAAGTGTTTATATCAGTTTATACTCCAGCAGCAGTGCATAAAATGTCTCATTGTTTCCCATCCTTATCAGCATTTCTCTTATCAGACTAATTTTTGTCAGTTTTACTGAGTTTAAAATATTTGTTTCATTGTGCTCTTGATTTGTGTTTTTCTGGTTACCAAAGAGGATGAACATCTTTTCATATATATATTGGCCTTTTTCGTTTTCTTCTACGAACTCAATATTCAAGCCTACCCTTCCCTCCCCCAAATTTTTCTTTTTCTTTAACTGAAAATTTTTTGTATTGAGATACAATTTACATACAAATTTATATTAGTTTCAGGTATATAATGATGATTTAATATTTGTATGTTTTGCAAAATGATCACCACAGTAAATCTCATTAACATCCACCATCATACATAGATAAGAATTTTTTTCTTATGATGAGAGCTTCTAAGATTTATTTTCTTAGCAACCTTCAAATATGCAGTATAGTATTAACTATAATTACCATGCTGTATGTCACATTCACATCACTTATTTATTCTATAATTGAAAGTTTGTAACCTTTAATTCCCTTTGCCCATTTTGCCCACTCACTAACCCCCCGTCTCTGGCAAGCACCAGTCTGTTCTCTGTATCTGTGAACGTGGTTTTTGGACTTGGAACATATGTATTTGTCTTCCTCTGTTAGACTTAATTTACTTAGCATGGTGCCCTCAGAGTCCACCCATATTACAAATGGCAAATTTCATTCTTTATGGCTGAGTAATATTCCATTCATTTGTCAGTGGACACTTGGCTATGGTAAATAATAACATCCTGTGGTGAACATAGGGGTGCATATATCTTTTCAAATTTGCGTTTTCACTTTCTTCAGAAAAATATGCTGAAGTTGAATTGCTGGATTATATGTTAGTTTCTATTTTTGACTTTCCTAGGATCCTCCATACTGTTTCCAAGGTGGCTACAATAATTTACATTCCCACCAACTGTGCATAGGTAGTCAGGTTTCTCCATATCTTTGCCAACACTTGTTATTTCCTTTCTTTTTGATAATAGTTGTTCTGATAGGTGTGAGGGGATAGCTTATTATGGTTTTGATTTGCATTTCCTTGGTGATTAGTGATGTGTAGCATCGTTTCATGTACCTGTTGGCCATTATTTCTTTGGAAAAGTGTTTATTCAGACCTCCTGACCATTTTTAAGTCAAGTTGTTTTTTGTTGATGAGTTATATGAGCTCTTGGTGTATTTTGGACCTTAACTCCTTATCAGTTATATGACTTGCAAATATTTTCTCCCTTTTAGTAGGTTGCTGGTTTCCTTTGCAGTGCAGAAGCTTTTTGGTTTGATGTAGTCCTGTTGTTTATTTTTTGCTTTTGTTGCCTCCGCTTTTGGTGTCAGATCCAAAAAACCATCACCAAATCTTATGTCAAGGAGCTTGCTACCTGTGTTTTCTTTTAGGAGTTTTAAGGCTTCAGGTCTTATATTCAAGTCTTTGATCTGTTTTGAGTTAATTTTTGAAGAAGATGTAAGATAGTGCTCCAGTTTCATTCTTTTGCATGTGGCTGTCCAGTTTCCCCAGCACCACTTATTGAAGAGACAACCCTTTTCCCCATTATATATTCTTGGCTCCTTTGTCATAAATTAATTTGACTATATATTCATGGGTGTATTTTTGGACCCTCTATTCTTTTCTGTTGATTTATGTGTCAGTTTTTATGCCAGTACCATGCTGTTTTGATTATTTGATTATCGTTTTGATTAGCTCTGATTTATAGTTTGAAACCAGGGAGCATGATGCCTTCCACTTTGTTCTTCTTTTTCAAAATTATTTTGATTATTCAAAGTCTTTTGTGGTTCCATACAAATTTTAGAATTTTTTTTGTTTTATTTCTGTGAAAAATGCTATTGGAGATAAAATAAAAATTTTTTAAAGATTTATTTATTTTAGAGAGCCTGCATATGAGCCAGGGGAAGAGCAGAGGGTAGAGGGAGAGGAAGTGGGGAAAGAATCCCAAGCTAAGCCAGGAGCCCTAGGAGGGGCTCTATCTCATGACCTGAGCCTAAACCAAGAGTTGGACACTTAACTGACTGAGCCACCCAAACGCCCTTCCATTGGAATTTTGATAAGGATTGCATTGAATCTGTAGGTTGCTTTAGTTAGTATGGACATTTTAACAATATTAATTATTCTAATCCATGAGCCTGGAATGTCTCTCCATTCATTGTGTCTTCTTCAGTTTCTTTTATCACTATCATATAGTTTTCACTATACAGTCCTTTAACCTCCTTGGTTAAATATATTCCTAGGTATTTTATTCTTTTTGATGTATCCCTAAATTTTCCTATTGAATTATCAGTGTTTTTCCAATTGATTTATAGGGTTTTTATTATTTTTTTAACATATTCTGGATACCACCCCTTTGTTAATTATATGTGTTGTAAATATCCCATTTTCCTTTTTAACTTTTTATGGTACCTTTTGATTAAAGGCAAATATAAAGTAGAATTTATCAGTTCTTCTTTGGTTAGTGCTTTGCTGTGTCTTTTAAAGGAATTATTCCCTACTCCATGTTTATAAAGATACTCTTTGTATATTTTTTCTAAAAGGTTTTAAGTTTTGCTTTTTTATATTTATGTCTTTAATTTTCATAAAACGGGATCCCTGGGTGGCTCAGCAGTTTAATGCCTGCCTTTGGCCCAGGGCGCAATCCTGGAGTCCCGGGATCGAGTCCCACATCGGGCTCCCGGCATGGAGCCTGCTTCTCCCTCCTCCTGTGTCTCTGCCTCTCTCTCCCCCTCTCTCCCTCTCTCTATGTCTATCATAAATAAATAAATAAATCTTAAAAAAATAATTTTCATAAAACTTTGTGCATGGTATAAGGGTTAGGATCTAATTTTCCCATACCCCATTTTCCTAGCATCATTAATGGAGTGGTCTTTTTTGTCCCTACCTCTTTTGTATATCTAGGCTCAGCATATGCATGAATTTGATAATGAGAGCTCTCTGTTATGTTCTTTAGGGTCAGTTTGTTTCTTCCTACGTTAGTACCATACATTTTTAATTTTAATAACAATTTTTAGGAATTTTTTTAAAAAGATTTTCTTTACTTATTCATGAGAGACACAGAGAAAGAGAGGCAGAGACATAGGCAGAGGGAGAAGCAGGCTCCCTGCAGGGAGCCTAATGCGGAACTCAATCCAACACCCCAGGATTGTGGCCTGAGCCAAAGGCAGACAGACGCTCAAGCACTGAGCCACCCAGATGCTCCAATTTTTAGGAATTAAATGGATCTTAAATTTTGTAACCAAAGGAGCTGCCATTTACTTTATGGTAATGAAGTTTCATAAAAATATAAATTTTGTTGATGGGTTCCTTCTGCACGATTCTATTGAACTCCTTTGCTATGCCAGAACCATACCAGGACTTGAAGATTTATGGAAATACAAGGCAGACAAAATTCTCTTCTCTTGTAGAACTTGTGGTCTAGTGGAGAAGTCAAAAAATAAACAAACAAATGATACAATTTCAGATTGTGATAAGAGCTACAAGGAAAATCAAGTTCGATAAAGTGATAGAGTATTATTGTGGCAGAGTGCTATTCAAAAAAATTTTATAAATTGTATTAAAATTAAGAACTTACTAATCACAGGCACCATGAAGAGCTTTTCTGAAGAGATAACATTTGAACACAGACAACAAATCATGAGGGGGTCAATAATGTGAACATCTGGGGTAGGAATTTTCCAGGTAGAGGGAACCAGAGATATAAAGACCCAGAGACGGGGGCAAAATTGCAAGAAGGCCATTAGAGCTAGAAGCCAAGTGACTAAAGAGGAGAGTAATAGAAAATGAGGCTGGAGAGGTAAGCGGGGGCCAGCCACTTTTGAGTTCTTATGCCATGGAATTTAATGCAAATATAATGGAAAGCCATTAAGGATATTTCTGCGTGGTGCAAATCTGATTCATGATTTTCAGATTGTTCATGTTTCTAATTCTTTTTTTTCTATTTTTTAAAATTTATTTATTTTTTATTGTAGTTCAGTTTGCCAACATATAGCATAACACCCAGTGCTCATCCCGTCAAGTGCTCCCCTCAGTGCCCATCACCCAGTCACCCTCACCCCCCGCCCACCTCCCTTTCCACCATCCCTTGTTCGTTTCCCAGAGTTAGGAGTCTCATGTTATGTCTCCCTCACTGATATTTCCCACTCATTTTGTCACCTTTCCCCTTTATTCCCTTTCACTATTTTTTATATTCCACAAATGAATGAGACCATATAATGTTTGTCCTTCTCCGATTGACTTGCTTCACTCAGCATAATACCTTCCAGTTCCATCCACGTCGAAGCAAATGGTGGGTACTTGTCGTTTCTAATGGCTGAGTAATGTTCTGTTGTATACATAGACCACATCTTCCATTTCTCTTTTCTGTCCTCTCTGCAACTGGGCATTGCTCTTCTTTATTAGTAGCCTGGCCAAATAGGTGAATAACAGCCTTAAACACGATTTAAATTAATTACTAGGGCAGCAGGCTTTTAAGAGATTAGACTTTGGAACCAAATGCTCCTGAGTTAGGCATTGTACCTCTATCACTTATTAGGCAAGACAGTCTCTGAATGAACATCAAGTTTTCCTATCTCTAAAACAGAAATTATACCTACTTTTCATGAAAATTAGAAATTAGAGTAGAAATTTTAGTGAATGTAAATATTTTATACTGCTACTAATTTTTTCTGATTACTAATGAAGGTTGGCTACCTTCAGATGTTTATTGACCATTTGTATTTCTTTTATGAAATGACTTGTCTCTTACTGCTTTATTTTCAAATATAAAGAGTTAATAGCACAATGAAAAGTTCATAGTAACCTTGGAGTACCTTTCACTATCAGTTGACTATGTATTTTCATTTTTATAATGTCTTTATTTTGTGTAATTTGACTCATGCATACCTGTCAGTTTCTCTTGGATTGATGGCAAACTACAATTAAAAGAAAACAAATCAATTGTGCAAATTTATTAAAGTACAGACTTGGTAAAATGAATCTAACTATTGAGGTTGTTTCAATCATTATTCTATGTTATTAACTATGCCATTATGTAAATCCATAACATAAATACTAATTCTTTTTTCCTTCTTTCCTTGAGCTGTGGTAGCAAACAGTGACGAATCTCAACTTCTGACACCAGGAAAGATGAGTCAGCGCCAAGGGAAAGAAGCTTATCCAACACCAACCAAAGATTTGTATCAGACATCTTTTAGTCCAGCAAGTCCTCATAGTCAGGGTAAGAAATGGTGCTTTTCATTTTGTTTTTGTTTTAAGGAAAGAATGACATTCTAGGTCTATTATAACTTTTTTCTTTGTAACCGTTTCGTTTTATAGAGGTTCTTTGTTTTGGTCATCTATTATACTCTTGAAATGAGTTTATGTTCTTTTAGAGTCCTTTTAATTCCTCTTATATTCCCCAGTGTACTTGATTAGTTACACTTTTCTTCTAATTGAGTGATTCTCAAACTTTGTGGTTTCAACTCTTTACGCTGTTAAAAATTATTGAATACCTCAGAGAACTTTAACGTGGGTTAACCTATTGATATTTATTGCAAATTACAATGAAGAAATTTTTTAAATGTTTATGATTCATTTAAAATTATAATGAACCACCACAGGTTAATACGAATAACACTTTTATTTAAAAAAAAGCTATGTTCCTCCTTCCCTTTCCCTCAAAAAAAAAAAAAATTGAGTGAGAAGAGTGATATTCCTTTCCCTCGTGATCTCTTAGATTTGGAACCTTGGACATTTTGGGCTAGATAATTCTTGGTTGTGTGGGGCTGTCATGTGCATTGTAGGATATTTAGCAGCATCTTTGGCCTCTACCCACTAGATGATAATAGCATTTTCTCCAGTTGTATGCAACCAGAAATAGCTCTAGACTTTGCCAAATGTCCCTTGAGGGACAAAATTGTCTTTGGTTGAGAACTACTATCATACCATTTTTGCAAATCTCTTTGATATCTAACTTAAGAAGACACCTGCATTTTCATATCTGCTTCTGCAGGTAATCTGTTATGATGTGATGATTTGATTGAAGTATATGTTACATATATATGTAGTCAGAAAAGGGAGGATTACTTTAATAGCTTTATATATAATTGCAGATAGTCTTCAATATTACACCAAAATTTGACAAGTGGTAGTTTCTTAAATATTGGTTGCAAAATGGAATCTGAAACATATCCGTAATCTTTTCCTACTCTTTTAAGTTAAAGCCCATTGATCTGTCTTGAACTTAGAATTACTTTTAACTCATGCATGATTTTTTATCATCATGCCTTAGTTATTTGGGAAATAGTTGCTTACGATTCAGATCTACTAAGTGTTGACACGTTTTAAAATACAATACAAAAAAATAACAATACAATACAAAGATGTGCTGTATGCATATTTCTCATCTTGTCATACAGAATATTAAAACCATGTGTATTCAAGGTTTAATATTAATAATTTTTACTGCTTCATCAAGAACATCTAAGTGATACTGGCCTTTTACTGTAAGTACATGGCAGTGAAGAAACCAGTGACTCCTACTACAATTTGGTGCCTCTGCCTTTATTTGTGCTAAGGTGCCAGCAGCTTTACCCAACATTGCTTTTGTACCATGATTGCAAATGTCAGCACGATGAAAATATATTATGGAACGTTTTGACCTTGCAGACTTTCTAAAAGAATCTTGGGGACTCCCAGGGATTATAGATCTCACTTCCTAATTCATAATTGATAAATTTTGTGTATTGAATTCTGCTTCTTAGTAAAATGTATTTACTCAGATGCTTTAAAACTCTTGTAGTACTACAATAGCTATGGTGGAAAGACTTCTGCTTTTAAAACTGAACACTTTAAATTTGGTGTTTGAAAGCTATCAGACACTTATGTGTCTGTTTTTATACTAATACCATACTATTTTGATTACTATAGCTCTGTCTTATAGTTTGAAACCAGGGAGCATGATGCCTTCAGCTTTGTTCTTCTTTTTCGGGCTATTTTGATTATTTGCAGTCTTTTGTGGTTCTGTACAAATTTTAGAATTTTTTGTTTTATTTCTGTGAAAAATACCATTGAATTTTTAAATAAAGGTTTTATTTATTTATTAGAGAGAGAGAGAGAGCACACACGTGTGAACGAGGGGTGGAGAGGAGCAGAGGGGGAGGCAGAGAGAGGGTGAAAGAGTGCCAGGCAGGCTCCATGCTCAGTGGAAGTTACTAATATTTTATAAAATGTAATTTACAGTCTTAACTATCACCAAATCTCTGTATAATTAGGTTTTGGTGTTGTGACTTTATGAATTATTCTTTGAAAATAGGCTTTAGTTATTTCTTTTTAATGAGTATTGATAAATTAGTAAGTTACATGATCATTTTTTACTTTATTTTAGTAGAAAATGGTTTTCTAGTCAAGTGTTAGAAAATTTTTATTTACCATTGTTGGAACTGGAAAAACTTTATATAAAAACATAAAAATAATTATTAATAATTACTAATTAACATCTATTGCTTATTTGTTAAATATATTTTGGTAAGTTAGCATTTTTGTTGCCAGGATGCTTTTTTGAAGCTTGAAAGTGGATTTATGGTACACATTGATATAAATAACCTTCATTAAGATAAAATTCTGAAAGGATGTAGCTTATGTGGTTTTTCCATTCTGTGCACCACAATTTTGGCTAAAATAGATTCAGATAATTCCTATATCTGTGTACTAGAATAGTTAGAGGAATTTTTTAACTTGGAACTTAATGAAGCAAGGAAAAGGTTACTAATAATTAAAACTACCCTTATTTATATCTATCGTGAACTTTTTCAGGCAAACAGAATTTGGGAGAATAGGACAATGAACACCAATATACCCATTCGATAGATTTAAGAAATTATTAACTTTTTCTTCTCTTTGTTTCATTTATTTGGAGATGAGGCTTGGAACATTTCAAATTGTAGACCTCATGATATTGTACCCCAAAATACTTAATGCAATTAAGAACAATTTCTTACATAACCATTAAATCCTTTGTTACATTTAACAGAATTATTGATAATTGCTTATTATAGGCTTATACCTAGTCCATATTCAAATTTCCCCAATTGTTCCACATCTTTTTACAGTAGGCTTATTAAAACAAGGATCTGGGATCCCTGGGTGGCGCAGAGGTTTGGCGCCTGCCTTTGGCCCAGGGCGCGATCCTGGAGACCCGGGATCGAATCCCACGTCGGGCTCCCGGTGCATGGAGCCTGCTTCTCCCTCTGCCTATGTCTCTGCCTCTCTCTCTCTCTCTCTCTGTATGTGACTATCATTAAAAAAAAAAAATAAAACAAGGATCTAAGAAAGGTTTATAGATTGTATTTGGTTGTTAGGTCATTATATTTCCTTTAATCCCAAGAGTCTCTTTGTTTACTTTAATTTTCTCTTGTTGCTTTTAACTTTTTTATAAAACTGGATCAGTGTCCCTATAGAACATTTGACCTTTCATGCTTGATCACCTTCTTGCAGGATTGTTTAATTTGTTCTATCTTTTATATATATTCTATAAACTGCAAGTTATTATTTTTAAACTGCAAGTTAAATGCAACATTGATTATATTCAGGTTGAACATTTATGATGAGATTATTTTATTGGAGATGTATAATATAGGGGAAAGTATGCTGCATCATATGAGAATTCATTTTATGTTTGATTGTCCCACTGTTAGTGACCTAAGATTAATCAGTAGGGGGATGCCTGGGTGGTTCAGTGGTTGAGCATCTGCCTTTGGCTCAGGGTGTGATCCAGAGTCCTGGGATCGAGTCCCACATCAGGCTCCCCTTGCTTCTCTCTCTGCCTGTGTCTCTGCTTCTCTCTCAGTGTCTCTCATGAATAAATAAAATCTTTAAAAAAATAAAAAGATTAATCAGTAGGTTTAGGTGATGACAGCGATCCTCTTCATTGAAAGTTACATCCTTTTTTACCCTTATGACTTGAAAGTAAAATAGATATAGTTGGAACCTGGTAAATAGTCTTTACCCCCCTCAATGTTTTCCTTATAGGTGTAAGCACTCTTTGATGATCATTTAAACAGTTAAAATATTAGGGGTTGAAAAATGATAATTTTCTAATATGTCATTCTTTTTACATTTGTTACTAAAATTTTTCTGAAAAGAGATCTTAATTGTCATAGAGTTACTCGGTAAACATGGAAATATAGTTCCTATAGGAAAGGCAAGATAAATGGTTGTTTCCTCCTGAGATCCCAAGAGATGATGTAAAATCTGCTTCCAGTGGTGACACATAAATTTTTTTAGTCTTTAAAATTTTTTTAATATTATAAAGAACTCATATGTTTTAATATATTCATTAAATTTCAATCATTGATAAAATGAAGATAATACCTACCACATAAGCTTTTTATAGGGCTTAAAATGTTAATTCATATAAAAAGCTTAGAACATAACTTAGTAAATAAAAACCACTCATGATAGCTGATTAATAAGTAATTATTACTATTAATATTATTTTTTAAAAATAAATGATTCTGTTTGGGTTGAAAACTTGTATTTCAAGATGCTGCATATTTCAGCACCTTAGAGGCTAATTTAGAAATTCTTTTAGCATGGATTGCCCATGTAAACCTCCAATTTTTGCATTTAAAGCATCTGCAATGTCAGTTCTATCTTGATTTGCACCCAGATGTTCCAGCATAAGTTATGGGCAAATTAATATCTGTAAAGTGAATTACATATTGAATGTTTTTATTTATTAAAATCAGCCTATTGGCTTTGTGTAATGCAAAACACCTCCCTCTGGTTTACCTACTGAAATTCTATATCATAGTTTCCAGATGTCAGATTTGTTTAAGATATATCAATTAACTTTTTAAAAAAGATTTATTTATTTATTAGAGAGAGAGAGTGTGCATACAAGTTGGAGGAAGGGCAGAGGGGGGAGAGAGAAACTCAAGTAGGCTGCCTGCTGAGCAAGGAGCCCCAGATAGGGCTCCATCTCACAACCCTGAGATCATGACCCATGCTGAAACCAGGAGTCAGATGCTCAACAGACTGAGCCACCCACATGCCCCTCTATCCATTAACTCTTGATTATGTTGAAGATAAACTGCCAGAGAAGATTAACAAATGTCCCATAAGCCTCTTTGAATTGTCTACCATGTCTCAAGTACTCTTGCTTATTATTAACAGCTTCTGAATGGAAAGAGTTAGAATTCCAAAACTTACAGTAATAATGACTAACATTTAATGCTC